CTCTCTCTCTCTCTCTCATCTTCCCTCCCTCCCTCTTAGAGGAAGCTGGTGTTTTGATAACAGGCTTATAGGAAAGCGGGTCGTTTGCACTTTTATTATTATTTTAGCTTTGGTTCTTAAATGTCTTTTATTTGTCTTCCCATCTACTACATCGCTGTCTCAAGAAAAATTATTGATACTGAGTCCAGACATTTTCTCTCTAGTTTATTTCCATCTTTTTTATTTTGTAGAAGTTTGAGAGGGATACAAAATACATACTTCTGTCTATCTGTCTTGCTGCTGCCTCATGCTATATGACCTTTTTGTTTTGATCTGCTTTTCTTTACTCAAACTCACACCTCACATTTTGGTCTCCTTTTCTGGTCTTGTACAGTTACTGAAGATGGCTTATGTCGCAAGCTCACAAGCCCGTGCCCCAAACCGAAGCCAGTCATGCAAGATTTATCCGTTGAAACCAAAGATATGTGGGAGATTCCACGTGAAACGCTCACACTGGATGTGAAGTTGGGCTCTGGCCAGTTTGGAGAAGTTTATAGAGGTTTGTTGTCGATGCTCCACACCCATCGTATTTCTGGCTATTTATAGCCTGCCTTTGGGTCATCTTATCAAATGTGTTTATATTAGTATATTTATATTAACTCTTTATCTCCAGAGACAAAGAGTTAATATGTGGCTATAATTTTTTATTAATACACATCAAGGGTTCAGGAGTTCATCATGGTTTTGGACACATTTTAAATGTTTAATTGTTTTAGAAGGGGTGACTGTTTATTTGAGACACATTTATTGTTGAGTTGTTTACATATAGAGGTAACTGTATACATAAAAGCTACCATAGAAGAGGGTAGTAGTGAAATTTAAAACTCGTAATGTGGGGTGGTGAATAAAATAAAGTGGAAATTTAAGAGGGATGATAGATTATGTGTACCTTACAGGAAACATGTGTTGGGAGTAGAGGGTGAGTTACTTCTTTGAACTTTCGGCTTTAGGAAAAATCTCATGTATGAGTGTTTGGGTGGGGGGCAGCACTGGTTGACCCTACTTCTTTTCTTTCCCTCTGTTATTTCTTTTTGTCTGCTTTACACTTTTCTAAAGTACTGAATGACCATCATTGCATTAATGTTCTTCTCTCTGCCCAAACTCGGACTAAAATTTTTAATATAAGTGACATCTGTCACCTTTGTAGGAAGTCAGTATTTCAATGATAATTGGCCAGTGTTCGTTCTTTTGTTATGTTGTAGATGTGCATTCCATAAACTGGTGTGTTTGTTAGATAAAAAAAAATGCTGACATTAGAACTTCTGACAATTGTATGAGGAGTCCTGAGCCTTAAGACAATTTACTTTTACTAAGCATGTTGATTTGAGAGAGTTTCCTGGTATAGCATTAATTTTTCCAGTCCCACAGTTTGTATTTATCAGTGGGAAGCATTAGTATAGGGTTTGGCAATGCCCCAGTTTGTTTTCTATTTACCTCTTTTTATTCACATGCCGTCATTGTCATTTGTAATATATATATATAAATGTAACTTTTGTTTTGTCAGGGAGATGGAAAGGAACTACTGATGTTGCCATAAAGACACTGAAAGAAGGATCCATGAGTGTGGCTCATTTCTTGCAGGTAAAGATAAGTGACTGCTGCTGAGGGGAAAAAATGAGTGACTTTGACTTTGCCTTACAAGGGGAACAAAAATCATTATAAAGTCACCGGTTCCAGTTTTTTCTAGCGACAGCGATGGTATCATTTTTACCTGTTCATTTGTCTTTATGTTGTTTTGGCTATATAAATAGAACAAACTGTGGGATAATACCACTAACAGGTTCTTTTTTTTTATCTCTCTCTATAGCATTTTGATCAACAGAATATATAAATTTGACAACAATAATAATAATAAAATAATAATAATAATTTCTTCTATATAGCCCATATCCACGCTCTACAGCATGCTCTATGCCTTTAACAATTATTGTTACCCCCCGCTGAAGCTTGAACTCGACAGAAACATTCTTGACTTCCGGGGAAACATACAGTGCAAGCTGTGGATTACATGTGCTAGGACTGTCGCAAACTGACAAGATCTTTCACCATCTTTAGACGGGTACCCAATCCCACCTTGGTGAAATAAGGAAAATTCATGCTTCCTGTTGAGAGAACAAGAGCCTAACCACGAGACCATTTTGGAGCCATTATTATTATTATTTTCATTTATTGTTATATACGAATTATCATACATCATGAAAATTTTATTTTTAAAGAGAATTTTATTCACTGATGAGATATTTATTTTGATACAGATGTTTGTTTGTGAATAGGATATTATCCTGATAGACATCTTTATTAATAAGTATGATGTTATTTTGATATACATTATTTATCAATAGGATGTTATTGTAATATTTATAGATCATTCTTGTCAATAGGATATTATTTACAACAGATATTTTTTTTTTCCATTCTAAATGTATTTTTATTCATCAATTGAATGGATAGTTTGATAACTCGACTTTGCTTGTGAGCTTTTCCTCCCATTTTCTCTTCACAAAAAGAAATCTTTTATTGTCAACAGGAAGCCCAGATTATGAAGATGCTGCGGCACGACAAGCTGGTACGCTTGTACGCGGTGTGCACGCGCGAGGAACCCATCTACATCGTCACCGAGCTCATGTCCAATGGCTCGCTGCTTGACTACTTGAGGAGCGACAAACACAAGACCATCTCTCTCATGCATCTTATTGATATGGCGTCTCAGGTGTGTAGGAGCGAGTGTTGATAGATTGAGCTTTGTTGTTGTTCACTCACACACTTGCACATGCAGATATGCACGCACGCACGTGCACACACACATGCACACACACATACTCATGCGCACACACATACTCATGCGCACGCACACACACACACACACACACACACACGCACACACATACACACACACAAGACCATCTCTTTCATGTGTATCTCTTTGCATCTCAGAGGTATGTATGAGTCAGAAGTAACAGTGAAAGATAAGGTTTTGTTCCCTATCACACTTACATATTCACACAGGCTCACACACACATACACACACACACATTCACACGAACACTTGCACACTGATCTATGCTATGCAATTGCTCTTCTAATGACCAACTTTTAATTGCTGTCAGATTATTCAAGATGTTCCTTAGTAACTGAATTAAAATTTTTGTCTGCAGATTGCTAGTGGAATGGCTTACCTGGAGCAGAAGAACTTCATCCACCGTGACTTGGCCGCCAGAAATATTCTGGTTGGAGAAAACAATATCGTGAAAGTAGCAGATTTTGGATTAGCTAGAATCTTAGACACAGAGGAGTACAACCCTAAGGGTGAGTTTCAGAGTAAGGGTAATTTGGTGAATTATAGAGTGAGGGTAGAGGGATACGTTGCAGGATTTTAGGGTGAGTTATAAAGTTGAAACGGTCAGGTGAGTTGGAAAGGTAAAACAGTGTGTAGAGTAAAAATGGTAGGGTGAGAAACGCCTTACAAACATACCACTCCTGGTCTCCACTGTGCGGCACCTGGAACTGTACCTGTCCTGTAAATGTGAGGCATCGCGGCGGAATCAGGCGCTTGTCAAAATATTGAAATCGAAAATATCGGCGTTTTTCTGCCGCTTTGCCGATTTTTGTCTAAGTATTATTTTCTAGCTCAATACCTGTTATGTTAATTTAATTTCACGGTAGGGGAGATATTTTACCATATATCTCTTGTCTTTCTGCTGGAATACAGTACCCCACTCAGCCTGGATTGGCTTCTATAAGCAGGGTCAAAGCAGCCTACCTCTGAATTATCAAAATTGTGTTAATGAGGGTGTAAAAGATTTACAATCGTAGCTCTAATGATCCATTTGTTATTGCAGTTTTTGGATGGGCCTCATTGGTCATTTTTATCTCCTTGTCGATGTGTAGGTGCAAGATTCCCCATCAAGTGGACAGCTCCTGAGGCCGCTCTGAGACAAAAGTTCTCCGTCAAGTCGGACATCTGGTCCTTCGGAATTCTTTTGTATGAAGTGATGACGAGAGGACGGGTCCCATACCCAGGCAAGTTTTTCTCTTTCTTCCAAAACTAAGAATTGGTGTTTTCTTCTAGAATCTAAAGTCACTGGCTCATATTTCAAAGTACGGCCATTTCTATATTTTACCAGTCTTCTGAACATCACCCCACGCCACGCCACACCACACTACACCACGTCATGTCTCATCACATCACGTCACACCACACCACACCACACCACACCACTCCACTCCACACCACACCACACCACACCACACCACACCACTCCACTCCACACCATACCACACCACACCGCGTCACGTCTTGTCACATCACGTCACACCACGCCACACCACACCACACCACACCACACAACATCATGTCTCGTCACATCACATCACACCACACCACACCACACCACACCACGCCACACCACACCACACCACACCACACCACACCACACCACACCACACCACACCACGTCATGTCTCGTCACATCACGTCACACCACACCACACCACACTTCTCCACACCAATCCACACCACACCACACCACTTTACACCACACCACACCACACCTCACCACACCACGCCACATCACATCACAGCACATTATCAGTAGTTCAGATCATGTCTTTTAACTCAAAACAAGTTTTACAAACTTTACAAACTGAAATTATTCTTTAGTGCATCTGCGGTTGACTAAACTAGATTGCAGTACTTATCTGCTTTGGGATGGGCTAAGACTGTGGGTTTGAAAAAACAACTTTTGGATGTTAGTCGCATCCATCAACATCCACACATTAGAAGGTTTAGATGCCCAACACTTTTTTAAGTCAAAATTGTTTTGACTACAGATGAGAAATAGAAAAACACACTGTTTGTCAGGATGCAGTATCCCGCTGAGCACAGGGACACTGTATCCCTCTCTGCCCTTGTTGACCCTGACAGGCGGGGTCAAAGCCTGCTTTCCAAATGATCTAAATTGTGTTGATTGGGGCTTTAAAAAACCCACATACGTCGAAAAGAAACGAGAAAAACAAACTCTTTTTGTCTTTTAGGCATGAACAACAAGACAGTTCTGGAGCAAGTAGAGCTGGGCTACAGGATGGAGAAGCCCTCGGATCTTCCAGAAGGCGTCTACATCAAGATGCAGGAGTGTTGGCATGAAAAGCCAGAGCAGAGACCCACTTTTGACCACTTGTTCACCTACTTCGATGACTATTTCATCTCTGTAGAGCCCAGTTACAGAGAAGCCGACAGTTGAGGATTCCGAGGAAAATTGGCATCGTCGTGATGAATGAATATATTGGATGTTATGAAAAACTGTCCAGACTAAAATGTAGTTTAGAGAATCATATGGGTTTTAGCGGCATCTTGCTACCTCAGAACAAAGTTCTATCTGATATTTTTGGCCGTTTTGAGTTATTAAGACCATGAGGTCAGAAACCAAATGTTCTATCTGGTCTATCAGAATCGTTAGGTAATTCGGAGTCATCATCAAAATATTCAAAGAATTGCTTTTGCAAAAGCCTGACATGTGAAACTCAACATTTTTTATGTCAAATTTCTCAAAACTAGGTACTGAGCAGGTAGAACTTTGTAATTCTCAGGTAGCAATCTGTCATGACCTGCAGACTGGAAGTTTTAGATGCAGGACACTTAGAGTCAGAAATGTTTTTACAATAAACGAGAAATATTTGAAAAGATTATACTTAACATTGCCATTGGCTAAGATCATACAAGAGGGTCTATGTGAATGTAAAATTCAGATTTAAAAAATGGTCAGTCTAGTTGCTAGAAAATTCCGGTGAGTGTAGTTGTAGAAAATTTTTACATACATGAAATATTAATTAACTCTGCTAGAGCTGTTTCATTGCTTTCTAGTTTTAAGTGCATTTGTTTTCAAGGAAAAGACTTTTAAAGGCTTTGTGTAAAATATGTTTCTGTCATGTGATACTTTCACTAATTTCTATTGTTCTAAAGCTCCCTACCCAATATGTTGAAAAGTAAAGCAGCCAAATCTTGAAAATAATCACAGTCGTGGTGATTGCTGAACCTGCCACATAACAAAACACACAAGAAAAACTAAATGGAAACGAAAGCTAACACAGACATCTTATTTGTTTGAAATGACAATCATGTACTTATAAGGCTCTTCTGTTTTGATTTCCAGCATAATACAGTTAAGCTGGCGGTGTCGGATATCCGCCTGCAAAACTATGTGGCTGTTACTATTGTGTTGTTATCGCAAGTTGGGTGCTTTCACATTTTCTCAATATCTCACTACTTTACAAGTCTCATAACTCAAGTATTGTTTGTGAATGATATGTGCCAGTAGAATATCAAAGGTGTTAAGTGCCAACTGGCCAAGTCCAAGGTATGTCTGTTTCCCCTTTTTAAATCTTCCTTTTACTTTTACTTTTCCGATCCAGCGGCCATTTGGGTTCTAGCCCTTCGGTCTGTAAATCTTCCTTAAATTATGTAAAAAATGCCTGACTTAAGTAAACACTTCATATCCCTCAAATACATATTATGTACAAAACCTAGTGATAAGCATTCGCTTTCATTTAGTTGTTTTTGAGGGATTTTTTGTGCCTCCTGAAAAATTAGCTAGCATGGACTTGGCCAGCTCACTCTCAACACAAATGATAAGTAGCACTGCTTTCACTGTCTCAGTGGCAATTATGAAATGGGTCAGAAACTTCCATTAATTATGTCTTAATGGTCATTATAATTCTTTTTCGACTCTTATTACACAATGCTCGATGTTCTCAACACATGAGACTGCTAGCTGTGTATTTTGCTTTCGAGGGCAGAAACATTCCTAGCTGTTAATTTGTCAAGTGTGACAGTCAAAGAAAGGAAAGTGTGAGTTCATGTGTCTTCTTTTGCTTCTTCTTTGGTTAAGAAAAAGTACATACATAAGACTAAATTTTTCTAATGTATGCATGATTTAAGTGAAAAATGAAGTATTTCCCTGGGAAATCCAAAGCTGGATAAATTTTCCCATTTTTAAGAATGTGCCTGTCAAATTTAGCTCTGGTGTCCTTTTACAGTGCATGCATGTAGGGATAAATATTGACTAGCAATGCCAATCGCTCACTGCTCTTTGGCCCAAAAATCAGGATCAGAGGTAGCCGTTTTCTGAGCATAGTTACAGGAATAGCTGTGGACGAAAATAATTGAAACTTGTCACCCAATGAGAATAAAGACTAAACTTACTACATGCAAGCTTACACAATGCAAATAGATTTCTAGAACTAGCAAAATTGCCATGTTTTTGTGATTTTCTTCCTTAAAAAAAAACAAAACAAGACGAGCTGCTGTGTCATCGTCGACCAGGGTCAGAAATTGAATTAGCTATCCTGCTGGCATATGAAAGGCCTATGATCACTTGGCAGCATGGGATTGGCTGCCTTAAACTAAATAGGTCACGGGGTCCATTGCCAGTTTTTTGCTATACCGTTTTGTTAGGTTGCATATGAGGGTGATAGCAGAACAGCGCTGAATCTTTTTAGATCAAAGTTTCTTCGTTTCTGTAACAGGTGGAGTCTTTCTTGTTCTTTGCACTCCCCAGCTAGATCTGAGGAGTAGTTGTTTGCTGGTTCTTCAACCTGTAGTGTAAATGATTTTTACGAATGTGACCATTTTTTTCCTACTTGGTAGAGCCCCTGGCCTTCAGGCAGCCACATTCCGATTTCGAAGGTAATTTATATGTTTTTATACTAATAGTATTTTCAGTTTTGGTAGGAATCAGTTTTGGATTTTGCCAGGGTGAGGGCCAAAGCCTATTCTTATCTATTTTAGGATCGCCAAGGGGTCTTTGATATGCACAACTTGCACACCGGATCTCCAAGATTTTTCGCCTATATATGAGAAGGTTAGGTATTTAATCTTTCCTACTCTAAGATCAGGAATGTGGCTGAAAGACAGCAGTCAGAAGGACTTGGGAGTAAAGGAGAGTAGAGGACGGGGATGGGGGGAAAAGTGGAGATGAAAGCAGATATCAGGACAGGACAAGAGAACAGGAAAGGAGGTGAAAGTAGACAATTTTAGAAGACAATTTTATTGCCGCTCTCAGATTTTGAACTAGGGTCCTTTTAAAGTAATAAAGACATCGAAAAATTGATAGTAGAACTAGATTGTTCTAAAAGTCTCATTGAGGTGCCAAGTTTCATTCATATACTCATGTTCATCACTGACTTATGAACAGTTTTCCTTCAAAATACATCCTAGGAATCATCCTACTTTTTGGTGACATTTTCCTTTTTAAAGGTCCTCAGAAATTTTGCAACACAAAAAAATCCCCACAACTTTTTAATTTATCAATGTATTTTTAATATATTCAAAATTCCCAATACTCAGAATTTATTGCCTTTCATAGAAGCTTGTTTTAAAGAAGTATGAAATAAAATTTGAATTTTTATTTGTTGTTTCTGCGTTGACTGCCAGTTCTCAAATCGGTTCCAAACCAGTGGCTTGCATAAGTACTCTGACAGATATACCCCTTCGAGTGAGCCACCCCAACTTGTTGACAAAATTGTTACTCACATGTGTTGTAATCTTGGCATAACCTCTGTAATTTTCTTACGGCTGTTTTTGTTGTTAAGAGATAGAGAATGAGGATGGGAGTGAGTTGAGCTAATGGGGAAGATGATAATGGTGTTTGCCTAGTTTAGCACATTGCATGATTCGCTTTCGTTATGTGCCTTTGGGAACAGTTGCTCTAGGTTACTCTAAAACTGTTGTTTTGAAGTCTGTTGTGAATGTGTAAATGTTAGGTGTTGTATGCGCTGAGTCGTTTGCAGCAGACTGCCACAAGTTTTTCTTGCCACTTGTATTTTTTGTAACCTCTTACATATCAGCAGTGAACAAAGATCATTCTTGCTTCGCATCCCCTTGTTTTCCATCTGACATATCTGCACACATGTTGACTCTCTTTCTGATCAGTATCATTTCCATGTCCGCCATTGTAAATAATGTATTTCTTGGAATAGCTTTTGACAGGACACATATTTTCAGTGCGTTTCTCTTAAAGATTATTGCAAACCCTTACCTTATGATACTTATGATTATTCGTCTTTTTAAAGGCTCTTTTATTCTGTATGTTTTATGTTTTCACCAATCTCTTTTTTTTTTTTAGGTTGGTGTCAGACTTATTTCCATGGACTGGTAGCCTCTGTGTGGAATAGTAATTTGAAATAAACAGACCTACCAAGGGAGTTATTCTTAGGTTCTTAGGTGGGGGTTTTGGGGGGGGGAGGGTGTTACATGCACAGCTATAATGAATAATCACATTGGCTAGTTGTAAGATATATAGCAAAGTATGATAATATTCAGAGAAGGCTTTGTAACTTTTTAGCTCTTTTAAAATATGTCTAACTTTTAGGAAATGCATTAAATATATATAAATTTAGTTTGTACTTGTATTTGTTGTTTTGGACTATACTTTTTTAAAACATCCCTTACTTGATTTTAATTGTCTAAGAATACCTGTTATTTAGTTTCCACTTCTATAGATCATTTTGGGCCATAATTTAAAAAAAAAAGTAAATTACAATATTTTTTATGTTGTTTGTGTAGAGAAAATGCAGTACCACTCTCTTGTTCCTTTTTTTGATGAGGGAAAAATTGGGTCTGAGGGTCTGAAGGTCATCATTGTCCCAGCCACTCTATAGTTGAGGCAGCAATGATTACTTATGTGGTCTTATTGCTCTGCTTTTTCACCACGCTTCTTTTTTATGCTGTTGTTCTTATGTTTTGTTGTAGAAATAGAAGGCTGACGGAGGAAAGTATAATGGAGACGAGTGGGCTGTTAGAGAGTGCCACTGGTAGGCTCTCTACATCGTTATGCTCGTTCTGTTTTTGTTCTGTCTATCAGTCTTTCTTCTTTTTTTTTCCCTAGCAGTAAGTAAGCATCTGTATGTTTCTGTTCACCTGAACAGAATAGGGGAAAAAACAGAATAGTTAGTCACACACGCAATATGTATTATATGCTTTCACATTACTTAGTACTTAGCACACAAAAAAGGAGAGGAATTTTTTTCTTTTAATTCTAATGTAATTATCCTTATTTTTATTTTATGCTCATAACTTATCTATCTCTGAAAATGTATAAAAAAGATCACTAACACTTATTGTTTCCTTTGTTTCCATGTATACTGTTTACAAATGTATGTCATGATGTCACAATCACTTTTTGGATTGAAGATCTTTCTTAGTGTAAAATCATCAAGACTTCACACTTATCTGGCAGGGACTAGACTTAATAACACCCTAAGAGCTAAACAATGCTACATGCTTCAACTTTTTATGTAATGAATTTTAGTTTCATATGGCAGCTGAATATAGTGCAAGTACAAGATAGAACATGCGGTGCTATTGAAAAAAATACAAAGCAAAATCATAGAGGCAGAGATAGACAAAGAATAACTTACTTTGAAAACCCAGACAGGTCAGTGACATGAAAATACCTGGGTTGGTTTTTTTTTTAGAAAACTCCAAGCAGAGAAATGAGTAGCAAACAATGATTGCCAATGTTTCAGATATGCCACCGAAAAGAAGATTAGTCTTGAAGAGTGGGTGGTTGTATTTACACCAGCTTAAATTTTATTTCATACCCTCAATTTCAGGTATTACAGGTTCATAAATACTTGTTTGCAAATAGATTTGCAGCTATACTTTCCTGAAATGAGAATATGGTGGCAAAATTTGTTGTTTTTTTGTGCTGGCAGTTTTTGCAGTCAATGAGTTGTTTATGTTTTGTGGGGAGAAAAAAATTGTTTCTGGAATGCTCATTCAGCACCTTGTGTTCAAGCAGCTGTTGATGTGTGTGTTATTAAAAATGTGACTTGAAGAGCATCTGCATTTACTCTCAGAGATGGTCAGTATTTTTTTGTTTATCTATTAGAAAACTCGTTCTGACCACGACATAGGTTGTTTTGCTTTTTTTTAAAAATCAAATCGTGCTTTCTTGTGGGAGCATCAGTGCAGAGAAATGAGTAATGAACCATGGTCACCGACGGCTGTTTCAGATCCTGCACATGAAGAAGACGAGGACGAAAAAGACAGAGAAAATAGTATAGATATGACTTTGTTTGTGTCTTCTTTCCTCAACTGGCCCCGTAACACCTGTTTTATTATGTACTTTCTTGCAGCACTCATTGAACATTTCCATAATTTTAATTTGTATTCAGGGCCCAGTTTTCATTCATCCTGATTTTGATCTTTCTTCTTGGCAGTGAGTTGGAGAAATAGTGGCTGTTAAGAGACAGACTTGTGACAGCCCTGAGATTATATATTTGTCTTCATTATTATATAGCACAGTTTTTCACTCACAGGACGAGGAGTTTGGGTGTTGTTTCATTTATTGATGCGTCATATATTCAGGCAAAGCTTCCTAAACTATGATTAGTATGAATTGACCGTTGGTGTTTGTCAACCTGTGTAACTTCATAGATTCATGACTCGACGTGTTTCCTAGTTCTACCTTCATGATCAGTCCTGTAATTATTGTCACATTTGTGCTAATAACTTATAATGAACTCGATGTACATGCTGGTGTCTACCAGGGTTCGTACAGGTCTTGGAAAACTGGAAAACTCTTGGAATATGGGGAAATTGGCTAAGTGCTTGGAAAAACACATTTTCAACTAGATCTATTGTAAAAACATTTCCTCAAAGTTTAGAAGGCCTTGACTTTACGCATTCTGAATAAAGAAGTGACAAAATATCTGGTCACATGAGCTTATTCAGGCTGGGATACAAAAATTCTCTCATCCCCCTCTTATAAAACCAGCCTGCGTGCATAGTGGACAAGACGATTTCTTCCAAAATGACATGTTATTTGTCTTGGAAAAAAGGAATCTGGTCTTGAAAACTCTTGGAAAAAAAAATCTCCTTCTCAGTATGAACCCTGGTCAACATAATAGCACTGCTTTATCTTTGACTTTCTTAGCCTTGGAGAGGAAAGTAATACTTGTAATTACTTGTTCATGACATGACCAGCACTTTGACGTCTTTTTTTTTTGTTCATGGTATTTTTGTACTTGGTATTCAAATCTTTTGTCAAAAATAGCCATAATCCAAAACTGCAATGTGTAGGCCTACTGATGTTGTACAAGTCTAAATATTATTTCTAGAAATAATGATTTTGGGAATGCGAATGTGACAGTTTCCACCATCGTATCTGTCTTTGCTTAACACAGTGTTGATCTCATTTTTTTTTTTTTAAATCATGCCACTGCTCTCTGTGTAATTATAACAGTATGTTTATGATCACACCTTTTTGCCTGCTACACCCTGGTCCTTAATTCTTGTACTTAAATATCCCATTGTGTCTACGGAGTATGTAAAGCCGTACAATATATTTCATGGCTCTGCCTGCCTTGCAGTTTCTCATGGCTATGCAATTTAACGTTTATAATAACGTCGAGTTTCTTTGAGAACTTTGATTGGCGTGTGATTATGTGGGTTACCCTGTAGTATTGAACTGTAGAACAAATTTTTGTTTGTTTCAATTCCTTTTATCTAGAGGGGAAAGAAATAGTTGAAATCATAGCCTTTGTCCTCTGCCCTTCCCATGCATGACAAAACTTGTGCAATGTTGAACTAGACTTTTAAACATAAAATGTGTATATAATATATAAGGATTTATTCAAACAACCTATGAGATTAATAAGACTACAGTAAGAATGAAAAGACCTGTCTCAAACAGAAGGAGCACTCTGTGTACAATATTTTGAGATTTATATAATGTTGAAAAAGTCTAATGTTCATGAGACAACCTGAAGTCTATGATTGTATTCCAGGCATGAAAGACCTTTGTAAAACTTGAATAAAACAAGCTCTTTTTAAGCAGTTTGAAGTATTCTCAAGTGAAGATGCTTTCACATTACAATGTAGATTAGATACTGCTTGGTATTCAAAGAGGCAAAGAGTTTTGGGTTTTTTCAGTATTCATGAGATTAAAAGACATTGACCCTTTGCTTCAATTCAGGTCAGAGCACATAACTGAGAATATAGAGTTGGAGACAAAGTGTTAAACTTGAGTTGTCTGATACAAACATTTTTCAGTTGGCCAACTCTGGTTAAAATAGAATATCTCATTATTTCCTATATTTTTTTAAATGGTAAATTCTTCCATCTTTTATCTTTTATAAATTACTTTGTAACGCAGTGATTTTGTTTCATTGTTTCGTGTTTTGCTCAACTTGTTTCAAGAGCACATCCTCCATGAGAAGACAATCGCTGATCATCAGTTTTTGTTTTCCTGGACTGAATTGCAAGAATGCAAACTGTCGTACAATTAGCAATGCTTTATGCAGTGTGCTTACTCAATTACTAAGAAGCAGCCTTTTGTTTTGTGCCTCTATTGCCTACATGTCGTATTCATTTCCAGGATGAACTTAATTTGAATTACTTTTTTTTAATGGGACATCGAATGTTATTGTTTGTGTGTTCTTTACAGTGACGTTTATTATGATATTCTGTTTGATTATGTTATGAGGAGGCCTATTTTTAGAACTTGATTCTCGATGACTGTACAAACCTCAAATTGAACTTTGGCTGTTGGCAGAACCAAGCTGCTATTAATTTGTGCAAAGAATTATTTTTGTAGATATATTTTCTGATGATTGATTTCTCAAATGATAACACTTTTTTGCTACACTTATGTATATCATTATTTTTTTAAGTCATCTCTATGAAGTGCAATTTTATCTTTTTGTCTTTTTCTGGTACATGCATATTTACTCCTTTGCTCTCTGTTTCTCTTCTTTTCTCACTTATTGTCTCTCTCTCCCACTCCCCTCTCATTTGTTTCATAAATCCCTTTCACTGTGAAAAAATTATTTCATTTCATTGTCATAGTGAATTTTATGTTAAGAGTTCAGCGGTGTTTTTGGCAATACAATGTACATGAAATGATAAATGTAAAGCCTGAATTGAAATGTGAAAAAAATGTTTTTGGAAATGATGTGAATCATATGTCAGTTATAGCCAAAGGAATTACGTATGTTGAGTAGAAACTGCAGTCAAAATTGTCTAAGACAGTCACCCATTGTGGAGTAGAAAAGTTGTTGTCTTAGACAGGTGGACATCATAGAGAGTGTCATTATATGCATGGAAGGGGAGGAGGAAATGGGTGTTTGCACGAGTGATTGTCTTGTACAGGTGGCCATTGGAGCAGGTTCAACTATAATAGTTTTTCACATTCCCAAATGAAGGGATTGTTTTATTTTTTAGCTTTTTTTAAAAGTTTTTTTCTCCAAAGAAAAGTGGTTAAAAGATTCTGTTGTTTGAAACAGAGTTTGCAGAGGACATGGGAAGACTCTTTGAATTGCTTCCTTGCTATATAATGTTAGTTCGGTTACAAAAAGCAAAGTTCTATACAAGACTTTTCCTCCTTCCATCAATTTAGTTTCCCTGACTATTATTGAACCGCTACTGTATTTATTTTCTTATATTCCAATAGAAAAATTTTTAAGGCTTTCGATGGGTGGGGAAGGGTCATTTTTAGTTTGACCTCTCACCATAGCAATTAGGAAATGGTGAACTCGATTGCTGAATAGCAATACTTGTCATTTTGTGCCAAACTTTTTTATTGAAAGAATTTGTACCATTTTTTTTTTCTTTCTGGGCTTTTCCTATACCTCTATCTCTTTCGTATGCTGAAAAATATTTACAATTTTATATTATAATGAAGTGATAATTTTCACATACCTCGTTTCTGTTCCAAGTTACTTACACATACTCTATTGATGTTTAGTAGATTGTTCTATTTATAAACCTTTTCTACTTCATTCTCCTATTTTAAAAAACAGAAAAGAGTAGAGAGTATGAAGAGAAATTACTTTTAGTCCCATGGAAATCTTCCTTCTTTGATTTTTCCTGTCCCATAGGAAATTTTTCTAGCTTCTTACAAAATATTTATTTAAATTTACGTATGTCATTAAATGTAGAAATTCTATTCCTGATTCTGAACACTAAAACTGTATTGCTAGAGTTTGGTAAGAAAAGGTTCTTTTATAATAATACGATGAAATGGGAGAAAAATATGGGTGAATGACAAAGGTGTTTTTTGAAAATCTCTTTTTTTATAATGTACCGTAATCATTTTTCTAATCAATTCGAAACATTGTTTTCCCCTGAAACTATCAATTTTTTAAATACTAGAAAAATGTCTTTTAAAGTCTTGAACTGATGGTACTAAAAGTTATTAGGAAGTGATTCCCTCCTTTTCCTTTGTCACTGTGCATCTTGGCCAAAATTTATATTAGAATGAACTGGCTTCTAAAAAGTTCTATTTTGGTCTAATGATTGGATCAGTCTTCGTTTTTTTCTTCTTGGGGGGGGGGGGGGTTGGTAAGTGTTTTACGGCGCTCGCAACTGTATAAGGTCATATGAGCGCGCAGGACACACCTAATATTTTCAGTTGGTAGGAAATTTTGAATTTTGCCCAGGTGGCGGCCGAAGCCTACTCTTATCGATTTTAGACCACCAAAGGATCTTTAGCGGGCCCTCCGAGATTTTTCGCCCTTGTCCGAGAAGGCTAGGTGTAGATCTTTCCTACCAGAAGATCAGGGGTGTGACAGAAAGACAGCAGTAAGAAGGGGTTGGTAAGTGTTTTACGGCGCTCGCAACTGTATAAGGTCATATGAGCGCGCAGGACACACCTAATATTTTCAGTTGGTAGGAAATTTTGAATTTTGCCCAGGTGGCGGCCGAAGCCTACTCGTATCGATTTTAGACCACCAAAGGATCTTTAGCGGGCCCTCCGAGATTTTTCGCCCTTGTCCGAAAAGGCTAGGTGTAGATCTTTCCTACCAGAAGATCAGGGGTGTGACAGAAAGACAGCAGTAAGAAGGAGCCAAGGAGTAGCAGTAGAAAGGCTGCAAAAAGAGTCAGGAGCCCAGAGGAGGGAGCAAAGGAGGTGAGGGTGTGGGGGCAGAAAGAGGAGACGAAAACAGACAACAGAACTTTGATAAAAAGCAGGAAGGGAGGTCAAAGGAGACAAATTTAGAAAAGAAAATTTTTCAGTTGCTACCCAGATTCGAACCCTGGACCTTTGAATGAGAGGCCAACACCTTAACTTCTAGGCCACAAGAGCTCCCTTCGTTGTTTACAAAAGACGTGAATTTGATTTACAAACAGGGATCATATTTTTCATGTGTCTGTCTTCCTACTGTGAGGATTTGTCCCTCTTAGCCCCAGGTCGCTCTGAATTACAGGGTTGAAGCAGCCAGCCTCCTAAATGATCTAAGTTGTGTCAGTGAGGATGGAAATTTACAACCGTTGTTCAAAAACAAAAAGACAATTTGCTATTGCTGTCATTCTCATTCTCTGTAGTTACTGTATTTATTTACATTATAATTTATCACAATTTACAGTAGAGTCCGCTGCAACCAAATATGGTTAATCAGAAAACAGGGGTAAACAAAAAGAAAATGAAATCCCTTATTTTTTTTCTTTTCTACTCTTTGAGGGGCAACAGCTGTAAACCAAAAACCGTGCTAAACCGAAGAAAATCTGGCGCCTCACAGGATTCGGTTTAAGTTTATGCGGACTTCACTGTATGTGAATAACAGTGAAGTCATTGCAACAGTGACCTAGCATACTTTGTATATTTTAGAAAATATGCTATTGCCCAAAGGGTTGCTTCAGTGCGGATTTTTCTGAAAAACTGTATCAAAAGCATTGATGAAAATGTTGACAAAAGAACCCCTATTATTAGTGAACCGAGCTACCAATTACATAACCTCCAAATAGCATCTTTGTCTGCTTCTCATGCATTTGTCCCCGTCCTATCATAAAGCCTGCAAGTTCTGTATACTAACCATAACTTAATTTGTTGCTTGAATGTGGATTTTATATGACAAGGATGTCATAATATTGTAATAAGTACTATGATGATGATTCATGCAGTATTTTAATTACATATGCGTTTTGTCCTTTCCATTTTGAAGTGTAAATATGCATGCTTGCTTCGTCATATTATAGTTGCTGTAAGTGCAGTGAATTCTGTGCAGAGCTGTTGTACTCTGTGGTGGGAGATGCCTGCTTTGGATGCTGGGACTGATTGTGCTATCCTAAGGACAAATGTCCTGGCTGTCTGTAATTTTTTTCTGTTTTTATTGTGAAAATATTGCAACTTTTTTCTAACTGTACTATTGCTTTTGTAAACGTTGTAATATGTGTATTCTGTCTCTTCTCTCTAATCCATCTATCTCTCTCATTCTTTCTTTCTACAACTTTATTGTCCTTTTCTTTAACCCCACTTGTCTCTGTGCTTTTATCAGATTCTTCCCTTTCAACACTATGCCTCTCGCCTTCCCAACTCCCCTTTCTGTTCTCACTTTTCCTCTGCTGCTTTACTGGGTTCTGCCATTTCCTCCACAATCTTTTTTTTTTCTTTTGGTATTCATTTTATGCAAACTGTTTAGTTGGTGCATATATGATTTGCTCTAACTGTGAAATATTGTAGCGAGAAGATGCAAAAGTTAGCTCCAGTACTTTCATTTTATTTAAAGTGCGTGTTATTCCTGATTTTTTTTATTGAACACCTACAGACTGACCTCGACAATGGTTTTAGAGCAAGTTTTAGTTGTTTTTTTCTAAGTTTTACTAAAAAGTTTCATGGCACTATCAACACAATAAGGTCATATAGGTGCTGAAGATTAGAGGTGATACAACAAGAGAATAGCAAACACAAAAAAGTAGGAGGAGAGATAAGGAAGATAGATGTTTGATAGGAGAGAAGGAGCAAACCACACCAGGGCACCTGCTTGCCTTCCACTTTTAGATTTAAAAAAGGGTTCACCTAGATTTCTTCTAGTTGCACAGTGAGAGTTAGAATTAGAGCATAACAATAGCACCATGGATATGTAGCACATTCTAGCGAAATGGTTGATTGAAGGACGCCACTGGCAGGTCTTACATTATATTCTCTGTCTGTCTTTTGTTTTTGTCCATCTAACTTGCTTTTCTCTGATCTATATATATGGCCTTCATCATGTTCTCTTTACTAGAATTACTTTGTCAATATATATTCTTTTCTTTACTTGAATCACCCGAACTATAAAGCGGACTAGATCCATCAGCAAATACTGTTGACCTGTCTTTTGATGTTTCTTACCTCCAGCATTGAGAGAACAAAAATTGAGCCAGCTAAGACTAAGGTCACCCCCACAGCAAGAATGACTCTCGTTCTTTTTATCAAATAGCCAGTTTCTATTTGCTCAAAGTTGTTTGATAGACAGAACATGCATTGTACGTCATAATTGTATATATACATCACTGTATTACAAGGCGACTTAACCTCCGATATTGAAGATTGCTTACCCAGCTTACCAGTGACATGCTTGCTATCTCTACCATGTGTTTTACATGGTACATGTTGTATACCTTTAGCTTTTGGTTTGCCAGTTTGCTGTAACATTTTTTGTTTACCATTGCTTTTAGGAATGGGGGCTTGGCATGACAGATGTCTTGCTACAAATGGGTAAAAGAAAACAGCATCTGTATCACTCATAGTATCAGTCTAGTTGTTTTGGTTCCGAAGATATAGACATGTGAAGTGCGGTAGGGGATTCTGAAGCATTTCCCATGGTTTTGAAAAAATTGCCCAATACTTTGAAACAGGTGAGTGCAGCAAGTGACTTTTGTCATGGCATTGCTTCACATTACTGTGTGTACTTTCTGCCTTTTATATTTATCTAGAGAAATTGCACTTACCTGAAAAGTCCATCTACTTAATTCACAATCTAGTTAATATTTTTATGTGTCGTAGAACTTCAGCAGTAGGAATATTTGTAGGAACACATACAGTTTAGCAGATACAATATGAACATGGTGGAAAGCTATCACAGATAGCTTGTATGATTTGCCATTCCCCGATTGATATCTGATAAATATTTCGTTATCAGTTAAACCGAAGTATGGATGTGTCGATCACATTTGTCA